CGCCACTATCGCCCTGCACATAAAATAGAAACACAGAATATATATTATTTCTGAAATACACTCTAACTATTTGTCCAAAGAAATATTATTAACAGTAATTTTTCTAAATCATTTAATGTTGTATCGTTACCTGGCAGGTATCTTTTCCCAATTCACCAGCGCAAATCATCCATTCGTCCACGATTCCGAATTTCAGCCTAGTATTCTTTTCACTTCCAATGAATGTCCTGTTGCACTGCGGTTGCGATACTAAGCTAATTGTGACTTTCAATAAATCATTCGAGGTATCATCAGCTAAAGGAAAATTCTAGTTAAACTCGAACCTTATTTTACTCTCTTTGAAACTATCGGTATTTTTAGTCATTAACTTACCCCAGTCGACTCTTCCCCATCCAGTTGCGGTTGCTGCACCGTCAGTACCGGTATCCGGTAAGGAGTATGGTATACAGCTGGGTCTTGTCCACTCATTAAATTCCACGTCTCTTTCCAACTTAAAAAGTGCGATGTCGTGGTACTCGGACACTGCCGAACGATATCTAGGATGCCTTATCCTATCGATAATTCGAAGATTTTCTGGTTTCGCGTCGTCATCTGTACGTTCAAGGTTTAAGTCACCTAAACGTATCCATGTTGCACTGGCCCGACTAGTGATAATAGATAAACATAGTAATTTTAAAAGAAATTATTTTATTACATTCACATAATCGAAGGAAAAATGAGACAAACGTGTTAATATTAGTGCATACATTTATACACAGAAGTGCATCACTATTAATAATATTGGTAAACCGCTACTGATGCTGATACATGCAATGACAATATTAACACATTCATAGTTCGAAGCGAAAAAATATATGCTAAGTGGACGAATGTGGATTATTCTTACGTGAGGTTGCAAACAGTGAATGTATTAATATTGGCATTAACATTACAATATTAATGGCAAAATACTTACATGCTTGCACTGTAGGTACAGTGTGCAGCGGATAAGACGAATCTTTCTGAAATTAATGTTCCACCGCATCCCCAGATAATGTCATCACCGTTAGGGTAACCAACTGCAGCCATGTGCGGGAATTCTTTCGGGTCAGCCTTTTTACCACCGACGATAAGTTTGCGCGTTTTGATCTTGCACAAAGATTTGTTCACAGGCACTTTGTCAGCCGATAGAGTTGGCGGAAGTGCGGATACATACACAGACCTCGCATATTCCTCGCACTCTAAAATAATCGGCGCGATAAAACAAACTTCAAAATACGACGTTCAACATGCAAGAGAGAGAGAGAGAGAGAGTAACAACAACATAAGAAACGACAATTTTAGAAATAATTTTTTATAAATGAGATAATCTTTAACGATAGAGAACACTTACTTGCTCTTGCCTTAGCACCCCTACTAGTGTTAGTAAATGGGCTTGCAGTTGATGGAGCCTTAGTTGTGGTTCTGACTGTGGTTGTGCTCGTAGTTGTTGGAGTCGGTCTTGTTTTCCTTGGACAGCATACTATAGGGTCTAAACCAGTGAATCCACAACTGCTACGCGGAGGTTTTCCTTGTAGTAATTCCTGGTAAACTGATTCACAATCCAGTAAACGCTTGCAAGTACCTGTTGAACCGTCAATATTGCAGGGCTCACCTGAAAATTGTTAAAAACGTTCATTGATGATAAGTGATACTGGAAAAACCTAATACCTTAATCGACATAATATGTGCATCTTCCATTATTTTTTTTATAATACAATCTCCATTCAATCATATTTATTAAAATCATAAAAAAAGTTTCCGCTCCTTCAAACAAGCATAAATACGTCAAAACAAGTTTGGTCACATTATCTCCGGGGGTAATTAATATTAAAATTTCCCTGAAGCGCCAACTAACGATAAACAACAAAACGTGACAATTCATCAACATCATTATATCGGAAAAATCGATGTTCAAGGATTCATCATGATTGAGACGTGATTAAGTATAATCAATGAAAAATTGTGCGATTTCGAGATATTTCTAACGTTTATTATTGCTCAAGCCTGTCATCACGGTAGAAGAATTGCAGATAATTTTCAAATACATTACATCAAATGTTCACTAAAATGCTAATTCTTTAATTACCGATCGCAGAGAAAGTACTGTTTTACCTTCTTCTTGTGCCGTGCAGGATGTAAGACTAGACAGAAGCAGTGTGAGTGACAGTAAAGATGTCACTGGAGACAACGATGACCGTGACAGCACCATGACTTCACAAAGCAAAGTCTCTGTCTCCACAACGTCTGACCACTACGCTTCTTTCTATTCAGTCACTACTTCGTATCTTCCTCCGTTCGTCACTTTTGTATACCCCCCATCTTTCCTCAATCGAGGATTGGCGGTGGTACGAGAAAACAAGGAGGACGAGCTTGTGATATTTTTTTGCTTCAAATACTGCGCCCTCTTGTCCGAGAACAGGTCTTGTAAGGTAATTAAATTTTTTTATCATCTTGCTGTCGATAAAACGACCGACAACCTTAAAAATATTTCTGGTTTTCGTTAAAAATACCTATAGTCGAGGAAAAGAGACATGCTTCAAATGAATAACTGAAAATACGTCACGCTTCGGTGATGCGTTCCTCGTCGACAAGGCATGTGAATGCAATTTTCGCATTTTTCTCACTTCATGATGATCGTTGAGGGGAGTTTCCCGAACATGCGGGAGCGTTTGACGTTGTTGGTTGGTTGCCGATAGTTCGCATGTGAAACATGCTTCGCTCAACTTTAATTGGTCTATAAAAAAATGACTCCGGAACGGAGCACAGATACCTTCGAGATAACGTTGCAGTTGCAGGCGCAGTAATGCTTTCTTATCGTTGCATCTATTTTTTTTTTCTTTATTGTGACAGAATTATTAAGCATGCTGCGATGTAATTGGAAAATAATCGAGGTTAAGAATTGGTAGAATGTGCCTTTTTTTTGGTAATTAGTTCTCTTTTGAATTGCTTGTTTCTCAAAAATTGTTCGAAAATTCCCATAAGAAGATCGAAGTAGAACTATTGATATTTTTTAACAGTACAGATTTTGTGCAACGTTAGGTTAGCCGTTATTAGTGTAACGTGAACACCCCTCCCCCCTACCCCTTCGTTTCATTAACACTGATTACATTTTTCTTAATTTTCTATTAACTAAATATATGTATATATTTGGAAAATAATTTTTTACTTTGGGAGAATAGATATATTGTTTGTCCAGGAGTAGAAGTTAAACCTCGTAATTTTTGCTGCATTGCAAATATGTATTCTTTAAGTGTCTCATTAACGTCTGACGAGTGAGAACTGTTAGTTCAGCGGTAATTCTATTACCTACTATTGCGTGTCGAAATATGCACGCTCGAATGAACAATCTTTTTCCTTTTTATATTTTGTTAAATATTGACCTAACGAATAAAGTACGACTCATTACGTTTTCAGAATTGAGGTGATAAAAACGATAATCGATATGATCAGCGGATATACGTAAGTTATTAAATGTAATATTGCTAATACCGAGAAAGGAACAAGGATATAGGATAATGGTATAGGTTAGTGAACAGGTCGGTAAAGAACGGTGACAAATCGACGAAGGTCAATGGCATTGAACTACAAGGTAGTTCGCCCTTGAATTCTTTTACGTAAAAAAAGACCTATTCGCATTGTACAATTTACGAATTTTTCGATCCTACAATTTTGTATAAATTGAAAACAACACTGTCTTAGATTTTACAATACCCCTCTCCCCGCGGACTTTAAGTTGTTTCAGGCAAGGATAACTAGTGAACGACACTTTTAAGAGTAAGAAGAAGCACAATGGTAATTTTTATACATATATTTTCATTCAATACGAATCATTTAATAATGAAACATAATTTCCGAAGCCTAGCTATCTTATAGTACCTTCCGCGTCTTGATGATATAATTGCATTTCTCTTTTACATCAAAACATACATACATAAGAATAATAATAATAAATCTCACGACACGTAACGATTCCCACTTAAAAATATTTTATTTCTGACATAAATACATGCATATATGTGTGTGTGTGTATATATATATGCATGTATGTATGTGTATAACACGATAGCATTATTTACAATTCGGTACCCGATACATATATATATATATAATAACAAAGCATCTTAGGCTATCGTATAAAGAACATAAATGTGTCCGGTTTATACAATAAATTCGCAGTCGTGGTGTATTAATTATCTTCTATAAAAGTAACATCAATCACTAAACGATATAATAATACGCGATAAAAACCTAAACTAATCTCGAGTTACGAATGCTAAAATAAAAACGACAAAAATATAAGGTGTATACACAATCTAAAAGAAAGAAAAAAAAAACAAGAGAATGAATATACAACGCGAAGTAACGCTGGATCATGACCATATATCGATACGTTATATACCATATCATTTTGTCGATACGCTTTCTATGCAGAAGAGAACTTTGTACGGTGACTTGCAAAGCCTAAACGGACTTTCATGAGCGAACTCAACGCTGACCCCGCCGCGACAGAAAGGTGGTGAGTTTCGATATAACTTTCATCTGTCTGTTTACACAAAAAAAAAATGGACGAAAATGCGTATGCATATATGTCTATTTCGCGATAAGCATCGATAAGCTTCATCGAAACTCAAGCCCATATCTTAACGATTAATGTATGTACAGTCTGTGTGTATCCGCGTTAAGTTATCAGTCTTACGGCTCTCAAGAGGAAATTGTACAATTTTTTTTTTTTTTATACGGGCGGCGTGTACGCGTTTCACATGCATGCGTTCCTTAATGATCTTGTGTTATAATGTACGTATAAACTATAAACCAATCTCGAAGCGGTAGGAAAACAAGTTCGAGCCAGTTCTGCGCACGCTTGACCAAAAACAGACAATCGTGTCGCGTGATACTTAATTTATATAGGATTAGTTTTACCGATGTGATGTCGCTAGGATAACTGTGGCCTATATATGCCTGGCTTCACGTGATCGCGGATGCTGCATTTGCTGTATTGACGCGATGAAACAGTGCTGTCCACTAAGTAAACTCGTTTCACAAGTTATTAACAGGTATATTAGTCTTTTTACCATAGTAAAAACTGAACTAAAAGAAACTTCCTGAGTTTACTGATCTAGTTTGAACAACACCGTTTTCCGAATTCATTCACAGAACAACTCCGGAAACTACACTCGAATGATTAGGCAGAGTTCTTTTATACCGACGACCTGTGAAAATAAAGGTCTTTCTTCTTTATTATAGTATTTAATTGTTACGTTTAAGCGTTTATAAGGCTGCCACGATATTCGAGTGCCCCTCTAAAAGGGGCTTTAGTTCTTGTAAAACATGAAGGCAAATAACAGGTTTCCCTAATGCAAACTGGTTGCAATGTGCGACAGAAATATCCCTGCGACAATCTTTTGAGAGCTCTATCGGATGAAACGTGAATTAAACCGGCGCAGTTCTCGGTTCGTCGAACTCGTCGCGATTTATCTGCGGCTATTAATATACATATATAATATTGCGATTGTTATATGTACATGTATGTATATATATATATATATATGTACATACAAAGAAAAAAT